AAAGTTCAGGCACACGGAAATAAAGCATGTTCTCCACGAACAATACACTCGAGCCGACATACTCTCAACACTCACGAGCAAAAGAAGGAAGGACGGAAACAAATCTCTCATCCAGGAATCCTTTACTCACCCGAGCATCAGAAAGCTCACTGCAATGCTCGATGTCAATGCCATCGGGGAAAGTACATGTTGGATGACCCCAATGTTTAATTACCTCCCCAATGAGGTACAAGGGATACCCATTGGGATATTGTTAATTGATGCACACTCCTGATAAGTGAAAGTTAGCCTTTAGAGTTTTGACTTTCCTCAACCTTTTGAAGTATAACCAATGTTGTATCCTTGGATGCACTCTTGATGAGTTATAAATGCTTGATCAGATTAATTGAACACTACCCACCCAGGGTTAAAATGAGGGTTTTTTCTGAATAGAAAAGAAACTCCTACTTCGAAGGCTCGGAGGGGTTAGCGAGGGTCTATCTCCCTTATATCTCTGGTGTTTAGGAATTGAAACAAGGCATGTACATCGTTAGCAGGGTCTTACTTAAAAGCGTACCAATCAGAGATTATTTGCATTTTTAGACTATTGTCATCCTCCCTCATATTCCTAAGCATAAGACTTGGAAAGTTGGCATCAATATGCAAGTAAATTATTTAAAGAGTGATAACGAATGGATGAATAAAAACGAGAGGAACACTTCAAGACAAGCATACTTATTGCATTAAGATTTTCATTCAAAAATAGACAGGTTTCTACATGCAAGCAATGTTTAAGCAAACAAGCCAAAATGCAAATGAAAATGCAGTAAAGAAACCGATAATTGTCATTGTTGAGGAGACTTGACTCCATATGGACTTCTTGATTCTGACGACTTTCTGCAGTCTTAATGCTAAAATGGGTGAGAGAATTCTCCTTCTGACCTAATGTGAACACAACAGTCTCTGAATTGACCCAGTCTTGGACCTTGTCTCTGGATGACATACCATCTTCGATTGAATGGCTAGGTGCCTCAGAATAATATGCATAGAAGATTCTTTCAAGAGAACGAATGAATGCTTTACCAAAATAATTGGTATAAACTGCATCACCAAGCATCTTACGTCATAAAGAAATAATATAATTCATCTTCTATCCCAACAGAAGAGACATCCAGCTGGTGAGAAAGAGTCTGGCAGTTGGCCAAATAGGAATTGAAATTTTGGAAGAGACGCCCGACATGTACTGGACTTTATACTTCAACCCCTTTACAGTCTTCAATATCAAAATCGGGTGCCCCAGAACAGGGATACATCTAGCATGTGCATCACAATAAAAAGAGATGTTTATAGGAGGAGGATCCCAAAGATTAGAGCTTTACCAATTGAACTTCCACCAAGCAAGGAAATAACTGGATGTAATACGCTGGGATCGCATCAACATGCTCATCAGGCTTCTTTTGTCTTTGCTTAAAAGATTTGTCCCATGAATTCACTTGGGGAACAAAGATTGGTTGCTGTCGAACAGATCAGGGAACACAAAGCTGTAGAGAGTGTCCTTGATTAAATATTCGGATGCCTCAGTGTGGTAACCACATCTGACATTGGTATCATGATCTGGAAGGGAATTTATAGACGGTACCAAAGTACGAGGTCTAACCCACTGAAACTCAAATAAGTGTGGAAACCAATGAGAATGAAGAATTGATATAAGATCAAATCCTCTTCAGGCGTATTCTAATCTCGCTGGTAAAACAAGTTTCTTGAATTTACACAGTAAATGAGAACCATTTGCTGATAAGACGTCCCAAGAACTCAAGATTGTGTAGCACTCCACAGTTGAAAGCAATTCCAAAAAGATGAGGATAAGAGAGAACCTGCTACGACAGTAGGTGTAGGATTGTTGATATCATCATCAAAGCTTCCATGACCCGACTCACCTGAGTCTTTAATCGATTATCTTCCTTCTAGAAGAATTTCCGACCACGGGCCAAAGCTTGCATGTATACCATAATCAACCTATCGGGATCTTCATATCAGTCATACCTCTACGGAGTTATCCCATCTGATCTCTGATCATGTGAAGCAAGAAATTAAGTTTGAACCTATGAAGAGAGACTAGGTCTGAATAAGAATCCCCAATCTTCGAGTACCTGTTATGGATTCATGAATGTGCATGGCGTGCATGAATGGATGCCATGTCATGTTCCATCATTTCCAAGGAATTTACATGCTTCGATTTAGATTTTACATAGGTAAGGGATGGAAAAGCTCAGCACAAGCCTTACATATATGATTCCCCGGAAATAACAAAACATGTATGTTAATCATGTGGTTAACCATGTTATGTATGCAAAGACATGGGATCAAAGTTCCATCATTTCTGAGTATGGTTGCCACACCGTTTCTGAACTATATGAATATCATCAGATCAAAGGTCAGGTATAGCTTTCACACATGTAACAACCAAGTACCATGTAGATCATCAATTGTACGGTATCAAGGCTTCTGGAACACCGAATACTGTTGAGATTTTTCTGAACATGTTGGGAATACGAAGATTGAAGGCCCGAATGAACCTCCAAATAAACAAGTCAGGAACTCAGAAAATAAATCCAAGAACCATATGGTCACCAACAGAACATACTCACCATCTGAGCATAGTCACCATCAGTAACTGTGGTAATCAAGTACCTCCCCACTAACGGGTGAAAACTAGGTCAGGGCAAGGTCGGGTAACTCAGAATCAAGGGTACTCCTGAAAAACTATCATTGTATCACCTAGGTGAAAATGATATCCCCTCATTTGAGCGTGGACGACATGACAACAATAGTGAAACCTAATTCAACTAGCCGACATGTTCCACTCTATCCCTAATGTTCCTATGGTTGTCACTTGGCCTGGGTATTGGGCCTTTTACCTCGTAGCAACACCCACCCAATCATGAAAACAGATTCAGCACAATAGTATCACCAATATATGGAAAGCGATAAAATGCAATGCAAGCATATGCTCAGATAAACATGTACAAATGAATAAACTGAAAGCATAAAAATAAACACCCAAAGAAAAGAAAAGAAGAGCTAGGAGAGATTCCGGGATGGACTAGCATTTGGTCGACCCTTCCCCAGTGAAGTCGCCAGCTGAAACAACTAGCTGAAAATCATCAGACAATAAAGTCACCATCAAATGTCTTTTATCCCTCATGAAGGGAAAGTTAAACATCGAGAAACCTGAGAAGGGAGAAGTCATGGTCTTGCGAACGAGAGATCAGGTAAGGGATTCTTACGTGAGGGGAAGGTATTAGCACCCCACATGCCTGTAGTACTCTATGGTATCAACTCTTGTTATCTATCTTATGGGTGTGTTTAGTCTATGCTTACTGCTTACTACTGAGAAATGCATGAAAAAGAAAGGAGAAAATAAAGTTGTGCTTGCTTGGGCCCTACCCCAATGCCTACGTATCCTTTTTGAGGAATCAGAGTTACCGTAGTTTGGCTCATATGTTTTTGTTTGTTTTGTGTTTTTTATGAACAATGTTAATTCTGCCTTATGTCGCAGCTTGCCCTTTGGAGACTCACGCGTTGGCACATAAGTAAATTAATCATGTCCTTACCTGAAAATGGTTTTGAGTTACGCCCTCAAGGCAAGATGTCACATTTGATTGGTTTGTGCTTTGTTACCTTGACGAAGGGTTTAAGTAGGATTAGGATATTTTATGATTTTCTAGGAAAATAGGTTTTAGTTTTAAATGCATATGCAAAAGGGAGAAGAAAAGAGTCTACGGGAGACTAGCCTATTTCTAGTCCTAATGTTATCATATAATGGTAGTCCTAAGGTTTGGATTAACAAAAGGGAAACATCTACCGAATGTTAGCCTACATGGATACCTATCCTAATGTCTAACTCGAAAGCTGCTCTAATTGAGCGATCCTAAGGGAACATGGTACGCACAAGGATAAAACAAGAAAGCTCGAAGGAGCACACACATAAATTGGTAAGGAAAAGAAGCGAAATGCTTTAGTTAAGGGGAGCATATCACCCGAGACAAACAAGCGGGAGTAGGATGTAAAACAAAAATGTGATGTCCAAAGTGACTGAACACCTAACCAAGATATAGGAGATCGAGGTAGGAGACAGAAGGCAATATGAACAATTAGGGAGTATCAACATCGACCAATGTGAACTCCTGGAAAAGTGTGAGGGTTTGATTGCAAAATATTCCCCGCTTGACGACTCGATAACAAGAGCATGCACAACTCCGAAGCATCATGGTACATCACGAGCTAAGGATGACACAGACGAAATTGTGGGGGTTGATTACAAACCCTCCTTGCTCGCCTCCTTTTGAGGACTTCAATAAGGGATGGGGGAATAGATGCGAGCACAAATATAAACACATGTGCAAAATACCTACTTCAAAGGTAGGGTTTTAAACAAACACAAATAGCACACATAATGCACGCAATGAAGAATTGCCCTAAACGGGTCTTTAAATAAACTAGAGGGGTTCCTGACATGATCATCAACGGAGACCCCCGTCATACACATCTACCCTACTTCTCATGGAACCAGAAAGCAATAAAGCCCTACTTCCCATGATCTCTAGAAAAGCAATAAAATGGGGAAATGAAGAACGAATTCACGATGATAACTAATGGAGAAGGCTCGTCGCCTCTTCAAAGCCATGCAAGCGAAGAGAAAATTCTATAGAAGCTACTTCGCATAAGTGATCAAACAAATTAATCTCCGAACGTTACACATCACGGAAATTGCATCAACATTCTATCACAAAGCTAGCAAAACACGTGAACATCCGATGAAATATAAAGCATATTTTTATCAAGTTTATGTGAATTTTCATGAACATAATTAACCAAAAACATCTACAAAAACAAAATTAAGATCACATATTTTTTATGTCATAATTTGTCATCAAGAGAAAAAATCATATAGAATCACAAAGAAATTCTCGGTAAAAATTATATTAAAACTATGATAAAAAATAAAGCGAGAGAAAAATATGAAGCACACTGGGGGGATATCGCCTGAGGTAATGGTGTAAAATGTACTGCCAGACGTATGGGCTTATGGTGCAGTGGCCCGATGAATATTCAGAAACCAAAAATTACAAAAATTGCAAAATGATGTGCGTATGGATACAGTGGGTGTGGCACGGAATTCTCCAGGCTTTTGATCATAGCGTCCCAAAGCAATCGGCAATAGATTGAACCCTTAATTAACAAAGAAAAAGCAGCGAAATTTAAAAGAAAATTAAATAAACAAGACTGAAACAACGCTGTTTGGACATGCCGTGAGTTTTAACCTAGCAGCCTTTCTCTCCTTCTTCAATGTTTCTTTTCTTTGTTCTCTCAACATTCGTACGCGGCTTCTGGCGGCGTCGCCACTACTGAACCCTTATAATCAACAAAACATGAACCTGGACCCTGCCTCAAACTAGCTCTTGATCGTGAATCTTGCATTCGAATTCGCTAACTTCTCATCAATCCAAGGTATCAAAGCTTTCTTCTAGAAACCCTAGGGATTGTAAGCTTGCAATTTGTGACAGTGATGATAAATTAACAGAGGCAACCACCGAGATCCTCCTTTACAAGCTACAAGCTACAAGCTACTTCCAGATGTAAAGAAAATGACGAGGAGATAGACGATTCGAAGGATTCCGAAGTTTATCGGTGAGAGTATCAATTGAGGAAGGTGATTATTAGTGAAAATCTTTGACTTCGGGTATGTACTTTCAATTACTCCAGATGTGTGAATTATTCTTTCGCTCTTCTTCTTATTTCCGTGTGGTTTCTAAACTGTTGCGATTATTGTAGCGATTATGATGAAGATTCAAAGAAGTTGTGGAAGTTGTTGCTGATTGAAGAAAGATGAAGATTGATGAGCGTTGATGGTGTAGAGAGGAGAAAGATTCGTGATGTTGATGATGAAAGTTGAAAATGGTTACAGATACATGAAGGTTGATGCAGAGATATTCAGGGAGCTTCAGAGATTCCAGAGAGATCTTTTTTGTTTTATTTTTTTGGTAATTCTTCTCATACTTTTGAGAGTGAATGTGATGGCGATAAAGGATGTGATTTGGTTGAAGAGATAAGACTCAAGTGAAGAAGGTGTTGCGGAGAGAACTCGAGGATGAAGATTTTTCGATAGATAATTTTATGAATAATGATCGTGAACTTAGAAAGAAAGGTGAAGATGGAGGTTATGGTGTGGGAGAGAAATCGAGAATGAGGGTGAAGGTTGAGGATGGAAGAGAGAGAGAGCAGAAAGAGATTTTTCGGGATAATTTTCTGGTGAGTTTCCTATAATTGATTTTCCTCTGACTTTTCTGGTGAATGAGTCATGAACTCCCTCCTCTCTTTTTTGTTATATTTTTCTATATAGATCGTGGAGGGCTGGTTAAAACAGTTAGGAAGTTTGTTAGTTGAAAATTTCTGTTAGAAACATTTAGGAGATTAGAGGGAGTTAGTTTCAGTTGGTTAGTTAGAGGATAGTTGTAGGGTTGTGATACTCTGTTAAGGAATTATGTTTGATAGTTAGTTGAATTCTTTTAGTTAGTTAGGAGTTGGTTATAGGTTAGTTGTTCTGGTAGTTATAGAAATTTTGTTAACTGTTTCTCTTGATTTTTTTTAACAGGGCATTTTTCTGGACTAGTTTTATTAGACTAATTCCATGGTTACGGTTTATACATGGCCACACATAAAGGGAAAAATGAATTGGTGGATGAACGCAAATGGAGGCCTGGTGTAGTCCTTTTCTTGCAGGTTGAACACATGGTTAGGGTATACCATAGCAGGCCATTTGGAGCAGAATTTGAAGGGAATTGGGGATTAGGTTCATGACTTGAAGTTTGAGTCTTTTTTTATAGAATTGTAATAATGAATGGATATTGTATGTATTTTAATATTTGAATGATGATGATCTTGTAATTTCGTAATATAATGTAATAAGTTTTTAATGGTCTTTATAATGGAATCAAAATTAAACTTTGAACCAATTTCCATCTATTTGTATTCTCAATGTCTTCCCTTTGTGTTCATGGAATCAATGGTATTAAGGTATCCTCCATGTTTTGATGACTTCAAGTGTTTTAATGACCCACACCTTCTATCACTTTGATCCGCCTAGTATTTCATAAGCAAACTCTAGAACTTTAGCTTGAGATAGTTGAATAAAAGTAACTCGTCTCATAAGAAAGCCAAATGATCATATGGAATACTATGCCTTAATATGCCCACAAAATTTACTTGATGAAATCCAAGTGTATTTTCCTTACGAAACCATCTCTATGTGCCTTATGATCCAAGCAATGAACACCACTTCGTTTGACAAAAATAAATCAATTGGGACCCTATCTCCAAGGATGAGATCTTTTTAATGAAGCTTTCTTGCATTTTATAATGAATCTTCTTGAAGTAAACCCTAATTGCCATGAACACCAACATTAATTCAACAACTTGCACCTTAAGTAAGGATATAATCCCATTGAATCATGAGATTCACTAAGGATGAACTTCATAAGGAATCCCCTCTTGAATACCACATGACTAGGGAAATAACCCTAATTGATGTTAGTGATAATAAATACCAGAATGATGATGAATGAGACCCAAGTGTTGATAAAGAAGAACTCCTATGTGTATCCAAACCTTGAGTATAGTGCCTAAACCATAATCCATGATCATTTACTCTTTAAACTTTAGTTGAGACAAAACCTTGCAAAAGATGAGAAAACCCTAATTCGAAGGGGATCCTTGATATCCTTGACCTTTGATCCATGGTGTTAGATGAATGCATGATGTGTGAGATGACCTAATGGAAGTTATGTACATGAGAAAAGTGTGAGATGCATAAGCTAGATAAAAGTGAAAGGGTAGGATAAATTTTGGATATTACACCTCCCCCTCTGTTTTGTTTTACTAATATGTGCATAATCCACACCCCACCAGCCTAATGGGCCAAGTCTAACATCTGAACTTGGACCCTGACTCCCTACACCCATAGCTTTTTCTACTTAGTTCAAACTCACACCCCCTGCGTTGGGCCTGAATTCAACATCTGAATTCAGAGCCCTGCTACATGTGCACCCCTGTTTTACTAGCCCAACATAATTTACACCCCCCTGCATTTTCTAATTTAATTCTTTTTTCATTTATTTATATTTATTTTTTTATTTTATGTTTTAATATATTTATAAATTTTATTACTATTATTAAATTAATATTTATTTTCTAAACTCATCAAAATATTTATTTTATTGCATTAAAATTATTTTAATCATGCATTAATAAGATATTTTTATAATTAACACATTTAAAAATATTTAACCAACACTAAACTTTTTTTAATAATCAATTAAACTCAACAATCAATTTTCAAAAAAGATTACGAAAATATTTGATCGACTGTGCACTTCGTATAACAACTCCTCTATTCACACACCCAAACTAAGTACAAGGGGGATTCAAACATCTTTGTTGTCCATAAAAAACACCAACCAATTGCGAACTACGAATTGAGACTCTGATTCCTCCTAAGAGGATACGTAGACATACGACTAAAGTCGTGGAGAGTTCCTCTAATAAAAATATTAAAACCCTATTTCCTAAAGATTGTGTTTCTAAACCCTAGTATCCTTGTGAACAAGGTAGATGAGGGATGTCCAACACCTTTCCTTCGTCTAAGAACGAGTCTAACAACTTAGAATCTCTGACCTAATTAGGGTTATCCTTTATATTCTCTTCCTTAGGATAAAAATTAAGGGTGGCGACTCTCATTTTAAAAATTAAGGGTGCTTGACATCATTGTGGTGCCTTTCTTATGGACACATAGAAAATACGAACCCGGAGAAAACCCCGTGTTTTCCCCACGGATGGGAATTTTAAACGGGCAACCGCGTCGAGATGGGCAGCTTGCAAATCTACCGAGGAAGGTCCTTCAAGACAAATCGACTGTATCGCTTGCACGTCCTTGCCTACGGGCAGGACAACGCGATCATGGAAAGTCAACAAGGTGATCGATATCCTGACGACTACAAAATTCCCGACCAAAATATGGTGATTATTCATATTTGGTTTTCGACTGAGCATCGAGGACGACTCCGACGTAACTTAACATCTCTTTTGTTGCACAACTCTTCCCCGACGTTTAAACTATTGAGCAACTTTTCTCCGACAATTAAGTTGGTCTTAAGTCATCACTCTTTTGTTTAAGAGCAATGAATTTTGGGGCTCTTGTTCTGGACTGGGCCAACACTTGGCCCTCTGTTGAGCAGGCTCAATCCAGTGCCCTTGCTACGACCCAATGGTATCCAGCCCAAATTAAAATCCGTTGGAGATTTCCCCACGTTTCCACTAGGGAAACATGGCCAACAATTATTCATAACCACCACCATCCTTCCCATCGAGAATAACGGGTCCAATTTCCATATTATCTCAGGACAGTTGACTAGGAAGGAGACCACGTGCTAGACTCCACTACTCACGTAACATTGGTAGCCTTTGTTATTGGGCCTAACTATCTGGTCCAATACGTGGATCTTGGCCCAACGCTTGGGGCTATAAATATCCTCTCACATGAGAGGGTCAGGTATTCATCCATTCACTCTTGCTTCTAGTACCTGCATTTTGATTGTCTCTATTCTTACTTTGGCATCGGAGTACCTTGCAGGTACACCCCCACTCACTTCAAATCGTCACTCAACTCAAGCTTGTGGGCCATTGACGATCCTTTCTGGTCAGGTACAATCAATTCTCATCAAGTACGATGGATGTGAGGGATGCTAATATCTTCCCCTTGCATAACCGAATCCTGTACTCATCTCTTGGTTACGATGACCATTTCTTTAGCGGGTTTTATTCATTGTTTTTCCGTTCCTTTTGGGACAAATAAATCTCGATGACGACTTCATTGTTCGATATTTTTCGAGGTGCTACATTAAGGTCTATACTAGATTATTACAAATAGCATACATTACTTGTGGTAGATCAGTGTAGATTTTATTTGTTCGATCATTATTTATTATCGTGGACATAATTTTAAATTTATACTTAATTATTTATAATTAGTTGACACTTTATCTTAACATTGCATTACATGGAAAATGACATTTTTTTTTAAAAATTAATTTTACAAGCACACAATTTACCATTTTCATCACTCATATCAACCTTAGAAACTTTGTGTACAACCGGTAAGATATTAAATTCAATATTAATTAAAGTTCTTGGAAGTTATATTTGGTACTACCTGTGTCTCATAATAAATGTCTCATTTATATTTTTTCTATGTCTCAAAATAAATGTTTGTTTAGAATACTAATACAATATTTATTATTATTTTTCACTATTATACCTCTATTTATTAGTTTTCACGCTTTTCAACTACTCTATTTAATAAATAAGGGTGTTTTAGTAAATAATACTAATTTTATCATTAAAATCAACCTATCTAATCATTTTCTTAAGAATCGCGTAAAATTTAAATAATACACTTATTACAATAAAGAGGGAATTGCTTTTACCATTTTTTACTGCTTGTAATGATTTTGTACTCTTGTCAAATCACCATCATCAAGGTTGATATTTTTTCCTGTCATATATGTTTCTTTTCTGTTTTGATTAGAGTTTGCCTTGACTTTTTATAAATAAAGTTGCAAGAAGTTTATGGGACAGTGCTCGGGCCTTAGAAACCACACACGCGACCCTCAATTGTCTCTGCTCTTCTCACCCAAAAGCGTTCATGGGACAGGCTTCCAAGAAGTTGTAAATCTCATGGTTGATGTTCATGATGATTGGGATCTTGTCGATGAATAAACACTCCACCCAAAATAGCGTACATTATTGGAAATTCATGCTCTCTTATTTTCCCCCTCAATGACTTGGGAGTTCTAAGATGTTTTCTTGATAGTTTTCCTCTTTGAACCAATTCCTTGATCACTCCTTAGTATTGTGCCTGTTACTTCTATAGATCTACAATATCTTGATCTGTTCAGGAAATTACACTTTTCCTTTTCGAAACTCAACGTTGGCACATTCTTGAGGAATACGCTCTCTAGAGGTGTTCATAAGAATATCCTTCTTTCCACTTGTGTGTGTTGATTTTATATATGATTCCGTAAGTTTCTTTAATCATCTCCAACATCTCATCATACTTAATATTTTGTCTGCTTTCCCGAGAAAGTCGTTTAAGTTATTGGGTTCTATAATTTCAATGTTCTCAACAAACCCTGTCATTTATGAAATCCAAGACTCAACAGATATATCTTTATTTTTCGTATTTGTCATTCACCAAGATGACATCCTTATTGAATTATTCAATATATATCCTCATTGGTCCATCCTTCATTTGTCTAATTGCTTCTAAAATATCTACAAACCTTGATTGCCTTCATGGATATGGAAGTGTAAATATCTCATGGTTCAAAGATACTAGAGTTTTCTTTGAAGACAAACTCCTCAAATGACAAAGGTTAGAGTATCTACATGTCATTATTATATGAATGTCATTATTATATGAATGTCTTTAGATGTTTATCCCACCTTATATGTCGGTACATTTTAGAGCGTGACCACCTTATAATTGTGAGGTTCTAGATCATTCTTTGGGGATAGCTGTCATAGTATCTAATCATCCTTGTGATCTAATGACCATGAACAGGTATATAAATAAGCGTGAATTACTTGAAAATTACCTTAACTCCCTAGACCTTGAGATATAACGCTAAGTGGGTTAGGCCATGGTCTATACCATAACACTTATCGTGAAACAAATGTATTCATTGATGTTTTAACCAACATAGGATGCAAGAGGTTGGTCGATTAGAGTATTCGTAAGCATGTACTTTTTGTTCAATTGATTTTATTTTTTGCAATTGATTGCATGATGGTTTCTTTTTATTGATTTGGAGAATTTCTCTCTTCATTTTATTATGTTAAGTTAAACCTCTGAAAATTCGAAAATACCTTTCAAATATGTATATTCGAACGCGCCTTTCATCATGTTTTAGATATGTATATCCGAAGTCACTATTTTCCCACGTTTTAATACTTAAACTTTGGACTTAAAATTCTAGAGGTATTTTCGAATATGCATATCCGAAATTACCTTTGTCATATTGGTTGCTGCATGGTCACCTCTCCAACTATTTCATTCATTTTCTTTCCTCCCATAACCAAAATCCTCAACAAAACTTCAATCATTTTCAATAAAAAATTTCGTCTCCAAACAAAATTTCAAGTGTTTGAGCATAGCAAAGAGAGCATAGAAAATTATAATTTGAAGTAAACTTTCCTCATTTCATCTCACATTCCTTGCATTGATGCTTATTTGTGGTTGAAAAAACAGCTTCACTTTGGATATGCATATCCAAATTCAACCTACCATAATTTGGTTGTGCATATTCTAAAACATGTTACAGAAACAGAATTGTGTTTTAACAGAATTTATGTTTTTCTGGCCGTGTTAGGTATGGTGCACCCCGACTCCCAAAGTTGTCGTAAAGGTTCCGAACAAGGTCAATGAAGATGCTAAAACAATTGATGTCGTAATAGATGTTGTACAACAATTTACAAATGATAAAATTTTCACCTCTCGTCAACATATGTTTGGATGAGTTCGGATGGAAGCTAGCAAACTTGGATTTGACGTTGTGATTGGAATTCCGACAATGGTACTAGTAGAAGGCAACCATTTGTTGTGATGACATGCGATAGAAGTGAGAAATATTTTTCAAAAATTCGGAAGTTAAAACATGATGACACATGAGCGAGGAAATGTGAGTGTCAGTTTAAATATGAGTGTCCACAAAATATGCCTAATATCATTGTTACCGACCGAGATAATTCCCATATGAATACAAATTGACAAAGGAAGGTACATCCAATATAACCACCACCACCGAGTTGGAAGTGATAATGGATATATTTTCTAAAGCTGATGACATTATAAAATTGCACATCAAAGAACAGTTGCGGAAAATCTCCTTTCCAGAAACCACCAATTTGAAACCTCCTTCGCATCTAGTAAAAACCAAAGGTGCGCCTAAAAAGATGAAAAGTACACAAAGCTGACAGTTCAACGAAGCTGACTCCTTCTTACCATGAAGTTGTTGATTCATTATTCCCAGATTGTCCAACTCTAAATTTCAAAACAAGTGTTAACAAGGGAGCTCACATTTCCAAACTACCCCGTACACCACCTATTAAAAAACAACCACAAACACCTCTGATTAAAAAACCACCAATTATCTACATTGATGAGATGCCTTTTTTTATGCACAAATACATTGAAAGGATCATTGATGTGGGAGTATATGGTAACTGCAGATATCGGGTCGTGCCCAGTTTACTTGGTAAAAGAGAGGAGAATCACACTCTTCTGCGCCAAACACTTATTTCGGAGTTGACAGAACATATGGAACTTTACACCCGACTATATGTGACTACATAAGTGTTCAATAAAACTCACAATGCTCTTGTTCCAAGTGTTAGCGTTCACGCACCCGTTGAAAAGTGGATGAGCTTCCCTGAAATGAACCATCTTATAGCAAGTGCCTATGATAGGGTGTGTATCGATTTGACAAGATATGATTTTTCGGAGACATTTACCCACTTCGAAGTCGCCCACCTAAAGACCTGTATGGGCGCATCATTTTTATCGGGTATCTTTGATCGCACCACTTTATACATTTTTATTTGAAATTGGGGTGTCCTATTCTGGCTACATCATGTCAGTGGATGGCCATTCCGCAATAGAGGTGGAAACTTGGCCGGATCCCTTTTTTGAAAGGATGGTGGAGTTCACCAAATTAATCTAGCTTGAGAGAAAAGCAAATAGGGAGAATTCGAAGAAAGATCCAGTTTTAGATTTAAGCGGTGATAATTCGTTCGGTGTATTTTAGAATGTAAATGTACTATTTTTTGAATGTATTGTCGTGTACAATATAAAATCTATATGATTCAATACTTATATAACATATCTATATTTCATGTTAATGTTGTTTTGTGTTACCAATTTTATTTAGTTCTATGTTTCTACGCTATTGATTCTCCCATAACATTATTTATTGCATCTGCATAATTCAGAAATGCACTTCCGAAGGAACTGAAACAACCGCCTGAACAATCAACTAATAATGAAATCAATGAAGTCCCCATCAAATATTTTTCATCTCACAAGAAGGGAAAGGTAAACATCGAGTAAACCTGAAAAGGGTGAAATCACGATCAAATGACCGAGAGATCGGGTAAGGAAGTCTGTTACGTGAAGGGAAAGTATTAGCACCCCACACGCCCGTAGTACTCTATGGTATCCACTCTTGTTGTTCTAATTAAAGGGTGTGTAAGAGTCTATATATATGCTTAAGAGATAAACGAAAATGAAAAGGGGGAATGTATGCAAAAGAAAAGAGAAAATAATATAGGGAAAATAAAAGTTGCGCTCGTTCGGGCCTTATCCGATGCCTATGTATCCCTTTTAAGGAATCAGAGCAGCCGTAGTTCGGCTTCAAAAGTTTTTGTTGGTTTGTATTTTTTAATAAACAATATTAATTTTGACTTTTGCCGTAGCTCGACCTTTGGAGACTCACGCGTCAGCACATAAGTGAATTAACATGTTCTTTTGAAAAAAGTTTTGAAAGAAAAACCCGAAGGTAAAAAGAGTTTGCATAAGTTTATATCTTTTACCTTGAAGAAGGATTTGAAAGTTGTTAGATGTTTTATGCTTTTTTCAAGAAAATAGTTTTAGTCTTAATGCAAGGATGCAAAAGAAAGAAAAATCATCTAAGGGAGACTAACCTAGAAGCTAATCTTAATGTTATCATACAATGGTGGTCCTATGGTTGAGTTTTGAAGGAAAATCTCTAACCTATATTAGCATGCATGAATACCTATCCTAATGTCTAGCTCGGAGACTACTCTAGTCGAACGATCCTAAAAGGAGCATGGTATAGCAAACAAATAAGCAAACAAGCACTTTGGAAAAAGTGAACAAACATGAGTAGCACATACCGACTCAAAGGGATGGGGAAACAAGATAAAAGCTTTAGCTAAAGGGAGCGTATCACCCGAACAAACAAACGGGAGACGGATGAAAACCAAAAATGTGACGTCCAAAGCGGATGAACACCTAACCAAGATATATAAGATCGAGGTAGGCGACATAAGACGATATGAACGATTACAGAGTGTCAGAATTGGACGATGCAAACTCCTGATAAAGTGTGGGGGTTTGATTACAAAACCCTTCCCCACTTGACAGACTTGATACATAAAGATCTGCACAACTCCTAATTATTGACGTACAACGTGAGCTAAGGATGACACAGACTAGAATGTTCGAGGGTCGACTACGGACCCTCCCCGCTTGCCTCCTTTTGAGGACTTATTATTTGTAATATTATGCGAGCTCAAATGTAAACACACGTGCGAAATACCTACTTTAAAGGTAGGATTTTAAATAATCACAATTAGCATACAGAAAGTAGTGCTTGCTACAGGACTTTAAATAGCGACTTCGAGTGCACGCTCTTTATTTCTTTCTTCCTACTTCACATGCTTTCTAGAAAGCGATAAATGCCCCTACTATACATGATCTCTAGAAAGCGATAAATAATGGAATGAGGTAAATAAGAGAAAATACCAAATGAACAAAAGCTCGTAGCATGGCAAGCAAAGCAGAGAAACCCAGAAAACTTTGAGTAAGCTTCACCAAGCAAAGAAAAGATTCGGAAACCAAATGCTCGGGATAAGTATCGAAGCATCGTCTATGTGAAAATAAGTCACTAACGAAATCTCAAGCGGATCTAATGGAGAAGGTCCGTTGCCTCTTCAAAGCCACGTAAGCAATAAGAAAACTCTACAAAATACTTGCGGAAGCTTCAACCGATCAATTAAAAATTATTCGCAAGAATTATAAGAAGCAAGTAAAATGGAAACCTCCAGGAGGTGCAATCTGCTGACCACAGTGCATAATCCAGCAATTTATAATGAAACGCTAATCCTAATTCATAATGAATCCAATAGCCATTTTTATTCAGATTTCATGTACCAAAAAAACACATTGGCATGGGCCTAAGGGGCAATAATAGCTCAGCCCACTCAACACCATATCCAGCCTTTTTTAGCATCAATTCTAAATATATAAAAACAAGAAATTACAAGAAAAATGTAGATACGTCAAACGATGTAGTATTGGGGAATTAGGGTTCAAAAGAGTTTGTGACTCTTCACATTCACGTGACCGAGTATTCTTCCTCTTCTCTCACCAACGGCGATATGAAGTCATTTTCCGATCAATTCACTGCTGCAAACGCCATTCTCACATGCTAACCAACGATTACAATCACAACAGCTCCCCATATCCATTTCACTGTACCAAACCTCTACCTATTTTCCGCCAATTCTCCCAGGTCATCCTTGAATCTGACTCAAATTGAATCCTTAGAGACGATGAGACGTGAAATTTCATGAAGATGGCGATGATTGTACATATCTCACTCGATAAAGATGAAGCTTCTGATTGCTAGGTATTCCTCTTCATCACTTCTCACTTACTACATTTTGATGTAGAGAGCAAGTAGTGAGCGGCGCGCTGATGTCGTTGTATGAAGGAGTACGTGAGAAAGATGAAAATTCAGTGGATTTGTCGCTATTGCGGAGGATGTGTGATGATGATTAAAGGAGTCGTATGTAGCTGGTGAAGGTTGAAGTTGTTATGCCATTGAGTGAAGATTGAAGAAGGTTGATGGAAAGTCTTGAATGAATATTGAAGGTTTATTGAAGTGGATGAAGAAGATGCAGTTATGGAGAGTGAGATGGAGAAGATTGCAGTGAAACTTCAATAGTTTTCAGAGAGAGTTTGAAGCCTATTTTTGATGATTCTTCTGAATGTTGAAGAATGAGACTGATGAAGAATCTCAAGAGTGAAGGTTGAAGATAAAGATTGCAGAGAATTTCTCCGAGAGAGAGATTGGAGAATTTTCTGGTTTTCCGTGGAATCCCCGAGGAGAGTGAAGAAGAAGCCTCAAAGGTGAGTTTTTTCTGTTATATATCTCTGTTAGATCTGGAAAAGTTTGTTACAAGGAAATTGAGTTTGAACTGTTAATTCTAACAGGTAGTTACAAGAATTGGAAAGTTGAGATTTGTTTGAAATTTTGTTATAAGTTGAGCTGGCAATTCAGTTTCAATTTTCTGATTTTCCCTGTCTATTTTCCTTGATATTTTCCTTTATATTTTATGATTATTCCCTCTATTTTATTGAGTTGGCTTATTGTTTCTGATTTCTGATTTTTCTTCTTAGTTGTATTAGGTACTCATGTTCCAAATGAATGCAGGACTGGTTGTAGGGAAATGGAAATCTGATTTGAACCAATTTTCACCGAGTTTGTTAGTGTAGGTTGAAGCTCGTGCAACAGGTCGTGATGACACGACTTAAGAGCAAATCAAAAAAATTCATTTGAACAGTAGAATCAACGGTCAAAGCTTGAAACTCAAATTCACCATCCCATTTTGATTTTTCCTTCCCAACTTTAGGATTTTATTCTCTTCAATTGATCCCTTGTGCATTGAGCTATTGTGATATAGACTGGTTGAACTTTCTATGCACGATAACATGGTGAACTAACGTGAGTAAACTGATTTTACCCCTTTGGATGCACTGGTACCATTTCTGAATTGATTTATTATATGGTCATGGCAGCTTCGAGATTCTTCTTTTCTGAACAGGTTTTATTTGTTATAAATTCCAGTGTTGTTTTTTGGTTTTTTATAGGTGCTGTAGTGAATGCAGATTTGGGGATCCAAGTTTAATGGACAGATTTTGGTGTTTGCAGGTATGCAAATCAGACTGGTTTAGTTATAAGCGGCTTATTGCATTCGTTTGTATCAACTGATAGGTGTAGGGAATTTTTTGGATGAACCTATTGGTTTAGTACACTGAACAACACTCTTTATGAACACAACTACTACATGTTAGACGCTGAATTTGTCATGAAAAATCTGCACTTATTATGGAATTGTTTCAACTTGTGAAAACCTGTTGATTTGTATATGTAGGTATTTGTTATACAGGTTTCTTGTAGTCTTTCAGGTTGAAATCATGGTGCACAGTGCAAGAGTTTGATGGACGTATCCTACAACAACTTGTGTATCGCAGATGCCAATGAGCCGGGCGTATTGGTTGATGGCTCAGCATAGTGGCAACGAGTTTAAGGCTAGCTTTGCAAGTATGGTAGAGATTCTGAAGATGTGAAAAACACAAGAAGGGGGGGGGGGGGGTTGAATTGAAAACTTAGATAAAAAAACAGTTTAATGACACAGTATTTTTATCCTGGTTCGTTTGATCTCAAACTACTCCAGTCCACCCGTCAAGGTGATTTCGCCTCTCTCCAACGAGGTCTTAATCCACTAATCTCAAAAGATTACAATAGTTACTTTAACAATTGTTAAAGTCTTCTTGAGTACAACCACAATCCGGTTAATCTCAAGGAATTCTTTTACAATATAATTGAACAAGAATGTGTTGTTGTTTTCTAACAAAACAGTTTATCACAACTGTGATAATTTACACAGGTTAAGCTTAGAATATAGAATGAATTTGCTAGAGCTTGAATATGTGTGGTTTGGAATTCTTTTAGCAAATTGTTGTGTGCGTACGTACGTGCTTCTTTTGCAAGCAGACTTGTTTATATAGGCAAGGCAAAGACGTTGTCCATAAAGCATTTTTAATGTTAATAACACACTTTCCTTTTGTAGAAGATCTTGTCTGAAGAAAGCCGTTGGCATTAATTTTGTCTTGAATAATCGGTAACTCTTCAGAGTCTTCTATCCTTAATTGCTGATAACGCTTCAGAATATTGATGACTTGGTTGATATGTCATTATTCAGAATCAGAGTTTGTTGTAATTAAGTGTAGGTTCTGGTCACCAATCTTCAACGTATAATCTGATTGCTTCAGCAAGTAGTACTTTAGCTTATCTTCTGATGCTGATCCCATCAGAACTTTTGCATACATAAAACATATTTTTAAGGTGCATATTTGTTCTTTGTATTTATTTATTCTTTGTATTTGTTATCATTAAAAATCTAATCAAGGGTTGTAGAATCAAACTATGTTCTAACAGATTCTACAAGGGTATTGGATTGGGCACAAGGCAAAGTCTATACTCAAGATTTGACTCAGGAGGCTTCAGTTTTAGGCTTAGAACTTAGAGCTAGCTATGCTTTTGCTTTTGTAATGTTCTTTTCTTTTTGTTCAAGGCTTCCATGGATAATTGTAAAAAAAAAATTGTTTTGAACTTTGAATGGGTACGTATTCTTGTAGTGAACTTGAGTGTGTAATGAATGATGATAACACGAAAAGGCCTCATATTTCTTGAATCGGTTCTTAAGAATATTGAAATTTATATGCTAAGCAAACTTGAACCGTGATACATATACTTTTGGAATTTCCACTTAGAATCATGTCTTGAAAATGCTTGCAAACTTTGAATGATATTACACTTTTGACAACTTGAAATCAATGGACTTGATCTTGTAATTTTGAATCTTGAATCAATTGGAACTTGAATCTTCCACTTGAAATTGAAATTGATCTCATTCCTTAAATAACGTTTAAATGTTGTATTATTTCGCCTTGGTAGCTTGAATTTCAAGAGATCAACCATGGATGGATCTTCCAATTTACACGCTTGATTAATGCACCTCAATCTCAATTGAAACCATAAGTCCAAGTTAACTTGTGAATAAATCCACATGAGCTTTCTTCTAATACTAGCATGAATAAACTCTTGACAAACATGTTCTTGAGAACCTTAACTAATCTTGTGACCATGCCTTGTAACCTTTGCATTTCAGGAAATACTTATGACACTTGCACCTTAAGAAACTTGAATGGATACTTCCCTAATCAAATCCTCAATTCTCCATGAAACTTTAACTTGCATTACAAGTAATAACAACTCGAGAGAACAATCCCTCGAGGAATCCTTTGAAGAAGAAAGTAGCCTTAACAACACATTAATAAGAAGGTTCCCTGAGAGCTTGAAGAGGACTAAAACCCAAGCCCAAAACATTATCAATTGAAACATGATGAAGCCTTAAACACAATAGGTTGAAACCCTTAATGCTTTTTCTCTTTGATGTATTGATGAAGACGACTTGTATCTTGGGGAATCTTGTAAATTAGGACATCCAAGATGCTTGTGATCTAAAACCCTAATACCAAGAGCCCTTTGATCCAATGTTTTAAGAGGTCAAATAAACAAAATTATTTATGATGCAAATGAATATGATGTTATGAATGAGCATATTAGGGGTAAAAACAGGGTATGACAGTTGCAGGAATTTTAAATTCTTAATGACCACGACTCACAACCCTAATTCCACTGCCCAATACGTGAAGAAGAAATCATCCTTTATTAGATACGCACACCTTAACCAGTGTAAAACCCTAATATTGCACGATCACTGAACTTTGAATCTCAGATCTATATTGAATGAAATGTATTCCATGTTAGTGACCTAATGGAATATATGCAGATGAATGCAAAATCCTAAGCCCAAATGAAAGAAATTTAGGAGGGAAAATTTTGGGGTGCAACAACTACCCTTATTTAAACGTCTTAGACTTGAAGGTAAGATTGGCGCTTGACTTTTGAAATTTCAAGGTGGAAGAAGATTAAATACTAAAAGAACCCGAAAATTTACGCTCTGGAGCCAATCAGGTATTAGTATATTTTTGGTTTTCTGTATTTTTTGCTTTTTTTGGGTAAAAGAGGTTATCAGGGATAAATGTATACCAAACCAGGGTTAGACACGCAGACGAGAACTTGATCATCAAGGAACATATGTCCAGAGTTAGTAGCAAACAAATGACAAGAAAGATATCAAAGAAGGAAGAGACCTACCACAACGGACTCGACCGAAGATATCAAAGATGGAAGAGATCTAACAAAGTGATCTCAACCGGATATATCAAGGAAGGAAGAAATATAACACAGCGATTTCAACCAAAGATATCAAAGAAAGAAGAGACCTAACATAGCCAACTCGACCGAAGATATCAGAGACGGAAGAGATCTAACAAAGTGATCTCGACCAGATATATCAAGTAAGGAAGAAATATAACACAACGATTTCAACCAAAGATATCAAAGAAGGAAGAGACCTAACACAGCGGACTCGACTGAAGATATCAGAGATGGAAGAGATCTAACAAAGCGATCTCGACCAGATGTATCATGGAAAGAAGAAATCTAACACATCAATTTCAACCAAATATACCAAAGAAGGAAGAGACCTAACACAATGGACTCGACCGAAGATATCAGAGATGGAAGAGATCTAACAAAGTGACCTCGACCAGATATATCAGGGAAGGAATAAATCTAACACAACAATTTCAACCAAAGATATCAAAGAAGGAAGAGACCTAACCCAACGAACTCGACTGAAGACATCAAAGATGGAAGAGATCTAACAAAGTGACCTCGACTAGATATATCAAGGAAGGAAGAAATCTAACACAACGATTTCAACCAAAGATATCAAAGAAGGAAGAGACCTAACACAGTGGACTCGACCGAAGATATCGGAGATGGAAGAGATCTAACAAAGTGATATCGACCAGATATATCAAGGAAGGAAGAAATCTAACACAACGACTTCAACCAAAGATATCAAAGCAGGAAAACTAACCACATATAGACTCCTGGAGAAAGAACACCGATTGAAGGTGAACTGGGGGTAAAATATACGTGTCTGGTCAAAGGTAAACACATATAAGAAAGAGACCGACTGAAGAAGACTCTAACGAAGGAACACCAATCAAAGGAGAACTTACTAGAGGAAACAAATAGACATTGACTCTGAATAGAACGCCGATCAAAGGCGGACTTATAAAGAAAAGAGACCAGCCGAAGGGGTCTCCTAACAAATGATACTAGCCGAAGGTGGATTTAAAGGGGAAATAACGCCGATCAAGGGAGAACTTACGATGAAAAGAGACCCGCCGATGGTGACTCTTAACAAAAGGTACCAGCCGAAGGTGGATTTTAAGGGTAAAGAAACCAGCCGAAGTGGAATCTTTAACAAGGAATACTATACTGAAGGTAGATTCCTAAGGAAAGAACGCCAATCAAGGGAGAACTTACGATGAAAAGAGACTCGCCGAAGGTGACTCTTAACAAAAGGTACCAACTGAAGGTGGATTTTAAGAGTAAAGAAACCAGCCGAAGTGGAATCTTTAACAAGGAATACTATGTGGAAGGTAGATTCCTAAGGAAAGAACGCCGATCAAAGGCGAACTTGCAAACGAAAAGAGACCAGCCGAAGGGGAATCTTAACAAAAGGTACCAGATGGAGGTAGATTTAAAGAATTCTAGCCAAAGGTGGACTTCAAGATAAAGAAACCAACCGAAGGGGAATCCTCATCAAGGAATACTATGCCTGAGGTAGATTCCTAAGAAAAGAACGTCGATCAAAGGCGAACTTTCAACTGAAAAGAGACCAGCCGAAGGGGAATCTTAACAAAAGGTATCAGCCAAAGGTGGATTTTAAGGGGGAAAGAACACCGATCAAGGGCGAACTTACAAAGAAAAGAGACCATCCGAAGGGGACTCTCAACAAAAGATACCAGCCAAAGGTGGATTTTAAGGGTGCCAACCGAAGGTGGACTTCAATATAAAGAAAATAGCCGAAGGCGAATCTTCATCAAGGAATACTATGTCGAAGGTAGATTCCTAAGAAAAGAACGCCAATCAAAGGCGAACCTACAATGAAAAGAGACTATTCGAAGAGGACTCTTAATAAAAGGTACAAGTCGAAGGTGGATTTAAGAAAAGAACACCAATCAAAGGCGAAATCATAGGGGATAAAGATATGCATATCTGGTCAGAGTTATACACATACGAGCAAAATCGAGCATCAAGAAACAGATGTCCAGAGTTGATAACAAACACAAGAACGATACTAACCGAAGAAAGCCCCAACAAGAAAGGACGCAACCGCCTAAACAAGGACGCCAGACAACTGGACTTTGAAGAGACACTGAAGGACTATTAACAGAAAAGGTTAGCTATGCTAACGAAAGGAGGGCCTGACTAACGCGGATAAACCAAAACAAGGAACCGACTAAGTAAGACCTTCAAAGAGCACCGATCAAAGGTGAACTCTACAAGAGAAAGAGACCAGTCAAAGAAGACTCTAACAATGATTGACAAAACACGTAGGTCTTTCAATAGGTTACAAATATGCAAGAACGACAAAATCCCTCAGGCCAAAGGCGGGGTGTAATTCTTCAAGAATGGTAATTATCTGAATTACCACACACCAAGTATGGATACTCAAATACTTGAGAAGTAAGAAAGGCTATACACCGACTCTTACTCCCACTCTAACAACAAAGCAAACATGGGTAAAATAACTAAAGGCTTGCAAAGGCAAGCGCAAACCACAAACTTACTGGGGATTACCATATGTATTGAACCCAAACAGAACGTCGGTCGAAGGCGGACTTGTGATTAGAAAAAGAGACCGGTTGTAGGGACTCTAAACATGGATTGCCAACACGTGTTAGGCTTTAAAAGTTTTCAAATACGCAAGAACTACCAAATCCCTCGGGCCAAAGGCAGGGTGTAATTCTTCAAGAGTGGTAATTATATGAATTACCACACACTAAGTATGGATACTCAAATACTTGAGAAGCAAGAAAGGCTATACACCGACTCTTACTCGCACTCTAACGGCAAAGCAAACACGGGTAAAATAAGCAAAGGCTTGCAAGGGCAAGCGCAAACCATAAACTTATTAGAGATTCCTTTATGTATTGAACCCAAACAGAATGCAAGTCGAAGGAGGATGTTGTACCCCAAAATTTGCTCTCTCATTTTCTCAAGATTTCTCTCACGGGTGTGTTTACAAAAATTGTTTAAAGAAATAAAGAAAATGCAAAATTTTGAAGATGTTAATGTGCCTTTTGATTGGGTCAAAAAAAAGAAACAAGTTGGCTTTGATTTAGCAAAGTTCGATTGGGTAATGTAATCTCCTTTCAGTCACAAGCTTCGATTTGGGCATATGGCTTCCTTCGAAGTGACCCCCTTTGATCCACAAGTTGGGCAGCCTTCTTCGATTCACAAGTTGGGCAGCCTCCTTCGATCCACAAGCTGGGCAGCCTCCTTCAATTCATAAGTTGGGCAGCCTCCTTCGATCCACAACCTGGGTAGCCTCTTTCGATTCACAAGCTGGGCAGCCTTCTTCGATCCACAAGCTGGACAACCTCCTTTGATCCACAAGCTGGGCAGCCTCCTTCGATTCATAAACTGGGAAGCCTCCTTCAATCCATAAGCTGGGCAACCTCCTTTGATCCACAAGTTGGGCAGCCTCCTTCGATTCACAAGCTGGGCAGCCTCCTTCGATCCACGAGCTGGGCAGCCTCCTTCAATTCACAAGCTGGGCAGCCTCCTTCAATTCATAATTTGGGTAATTAAACCCTTCGAAGCAACGTACTTAGATTACATCTCTAAAAATTTTCAACACTATGGATCATAGTTGGTGGATTGAAGGACCTATAATGGGTCCATTCGAAGAGCACACATTGTTGGAAACGAACGTTGTTGTATGATGATGAGTCTGGTCGAAGTGATCAAAACGAAAGGGTGGAGTATTCAACGTGTTTGTTGACCAAAGTTATATATACTGCCAAACCTAATCAAGTTGTGCTTTTATGCAACAGTCCTGTACCAATCTGCCACAACACTCTAAATACTACTGAGCCTGCATTGTCTCAGTCCCATACTTACACAAAAAATGGTACATAAGAGCTACATCAAAGAAAACAAGGGGACAATATACCCAAACAGTTCAAATGTTATTTGATTTCCCCCCAAAACCACATCAAAGATCCTCTATAAATAAACCTTTCTTCACAACA